AACACCCAAACCATGAAAAAAGTGCGACTTATAGTCCAAAAATTGTGGTAATATAGGCCCTTTAAGACATGAAATAGTGTAATAACAGTATAATAGAATAATAATATAATAATAATTTGTGAAGGTGTAAAAAAACATTTGGAAACAGGACTGGACACAACACGATAAGGGTGCAGTGTGTAACTTTTTGGTTGGGAGTCCATCACCTTCTTGTTTCTGCTTACTCTGCCTGGAAAGTTCCACAATATGACATTAAACAGCTTTACTTGACATTTATTCAATTACAGGTCGTTTTATAGCTCAAAAATATCAAGAAAAACAATATTCTGACTGTGAGTGAGGTCGCCTCTCCACAGATTTGACCTGTAACTTGGTCTGGTTTGGTCTGTAGAAAGGTTTAACTCCGTACTGTGAAACATTCCAGACAAAGCAATAACATCTCCATGGATAAAGTTCCACAGTGCAGCTTTAACGCCACATGTTCAGCTCCGTTGTCTGTAACTTATCAGGACAGATGAGGAGCAGAGGGCAGATTCCTCACCAGCTGCTTTCGTTTTGTCGGTAAAATTCTATATGGCAGCACCGCGCCGTAGCATCTGGACATCAGGGGCTCGGGAGCATAAATATTTTAGCAGATTTCAAACATTTGATGGTTAATTCGTGAGATGTGATGGCTCGTTCTGGCACGGGGCTGCAGAGAACGGCAGACAGAAGAGCTGAAGAAGACACGGAGAATCATAAAGTATTGTTTCCACTGGCCTTAAGTCTACTTTACTGTACGTATGTTTGGAGAGTTTCTATTCGCCCTCCTTAACAGTCGCCAGACGCTTTTTAAAGGAGCCGCAAAGGTCGAGTTAGGTCTTATTTACTTAGCAGACAGTCTGTGGTCTTTAATAGCAAGGTTACACTTTTAACAAATGGGAAACAGAATTGCAAAAGTGCACTCAAATTTCTAAATGTGTGAGATATAAAATTCTGCAACTCAAATTATTACACCAAGCTTATATAACGCCACATACTAAACAAAATGGATAATGAATTATAAAAACTGTTGGCATGGTTGTGGGGCAGAGGACACACTCATACTCATGTTGTGGCATTGCCCTCAATACATGCATCAAGAGTTTTGGACTTCCGGTCATTGTGCAATTCATACTGGGAAGGATTTTCCAAAAAAGTGAGCATCAAACCGCCATGTTTGATTTCCCAGTGGGATGCGTCTATTGACAAAGCCGATCTTTTCTAGTCTTTTAATCCATATCACTTTTGTTTCTGGTTCTGATATTGTCATATTTTAATTTTGGGATTCGGACATCGTAATTGTGTGGTTGTTGGATGTCCCAACAGCGGAAAACAGCTCGAGAAATTTGTTTGCGAACTTCATGAATGTAAAAGGGAATCAGATGTGTGTGACTGCAAACCTCTGTTCAAACTGTTTCTCTTCGGAATTGAAAAATAGGGAAAGGCGAAGGCGATGGGCAGGATTGATATACAGGAAAGATGAAAAAGCTAACCTTTGACTGCCTAAATCATCCTGAGTTTGCAGCGAACATTCTGTATGTGGAGCGTCGTCAAAGCGGGATCGCCTTGGTTAAGCGAGAGGCGCAGAAGACAAACAGGCTGAGCTCACACTTTCTTGTTCTTGTGACTTTACAGCAACATCACGTCTTGGTCTCTTTGCAGTGGAAGGTGTTTCTTGGCGTTGACTTTTTAAATTTGTGACCAAGGTTGAATGAGGGATCGTGGTTTTGCTTTGTTGTCGCTCCACATACAAAATGTTCACTGCAAACTCGGGATGATTTAGGCAGTCAAAGGTTTCCTTTTTGGTCCTTCCTGTGGATCAATCCTGCCCATCGTCTCTTCGCCTTTCACTATTTTTTCAATTCCGTTGGGAAGAGAAACAGTTTGAACGGAGGTTTGCAGTCACACACATCTGATTCCCTTTTGCATTTATGGAGTTCGCAAACTTCCAAAGCCTGTTTTCTGCTGTTAGAACATCCAACAACCACACAATTATGATGTCCAAATCCCAAAATTAAAATATGACAATATCAGAACCAGAAACAAAAGTGATATGGTTCAAAAGACAACCACAGTCCTCCACTTGGAACCCTTCTTTTCTTCTTTCCTTTTTCTCATCTTTTATTTACTTAATTATTCTTTTGTTGTTGTTGTTTTTTGTTCGTCCATTTATATTTTAACGGTTAAAGACGCAAAGTAAAGAAGCAACGGTAAAGAGTGAAAAACAAAACTATGGTGAAAAGTTATAAAAACCCAAAGGTAGCAACAGTCGACGGGGGAACAAGGCTTGTTTTCTTTGTAAATGTATATTTTAGTGACTTGAAAATGATACTTGTAAATGAATGTTAAAATATGGATAACAGTTAAGCAATCTATTGAGCTCGTAATACGGTGATCATACGAGCTTATGGTCATTTCTGTTGTTTTGTTCTTGTCTCGCTGTTACGTTGGTTCTATGACACGGCGAGGAAAGATTAAAAGTCGTTTAACCATCAGTTCTTGCCTTTGCAATACGACTGGACGCTAAAGGTGCATTGTGTAACTTTTCTGGTGGAGGGTCTGTCAAATGCGTGAGTTGTGTGCTCCTCCGTGTTTTTTTTTTAATTTATTTTTATGTGTTTTTATTGGTATTTATTTCTATTCTACGATTTTGTTCTTATTTAATTTTATTGGTTTTATTATTTTAAGACAAGTATTATTTTAGTAGTTTATTTTATCATTCTATAATTGTTGTTATTATTATGTATTTGTGCAGCACTTTGGAAACTGTTTGTTTGTGAAATCTGCTATAGAAATAAAGTGGATTGGACTGGAAATGCTTTTTCCATGGAGATGTTATTGCTTTGTCTGGAATATTTCACAGTATGGCATTAAACCTTTCAATCTTCATGGAAACCAAACCAGACTAAGTTATAGGTCAGAGCTGTGGAGAGGGGACCCCGCTCACAGTCAAAATATCTGTTTTTCTAGGTATTTTTGAGCTATAAAACCATCTGTAAGTTAATATAAGTAAGGCAGAGCTGTTTAAAGTCATACTGTGGAACATTCCAGGCAGAGCAATGACATAATCACAGAAATAAGCAGGTGACGGACTCCAACCGAAAAGTTCCCAAATATGTTTTTTACACCTTCACAAATTATTATTGTTATTCCAGTACTGCAAGTCTTAAAAGGCCCATATTACAGTATTTTCTGGTCTATGTTATGATCCAAAAAATCCAAAAAGTTACGTAGTGCATCTTTAAGTATCAGTTGGACCAGGGATTTAAAACAGACCTGCGATGATTAATTTAAAATGAAGTGTGAGGAGTCAACTATTATTATCTGTACCATAAACACACAAACTGAAACACTGAGACAGACATTTATAACCAAGGAACAGAAACTTGGCACCAAACAAGCATTCGTTTTCTGGTTCCAGTACTTACCGGACCTTTCTGGTGTCTACTTAGAACCCAGTTTCGTTTACCTAACCAGTCAGAACCACACGCTTTGTCCAAACTTTACAAAGACAAGCTGTGTCCTGTCTCCCTGATTTCAAAGGGCGTGATTGACAGGTGGATTAACCAATCAGAAAGACACTCATCCTCTGTTCATCACAAAACAAACAAACATGGCTTCTCACTTGTAAAAATGTGAAAAAAGAGAAACAGCGTGGATTTTCTCCGAATCAACAATCAAAGCACCAAACTATGACTTATCTCAGGTAAAAGAAGTTATATATTTCATTCTGAATATTACGAGACTTTTGGAAAGGAGACGTCTTCAGCATTTGAGAGAATCATGATACAAATTAGCGTCTGTGGTTGGACCGTTTAGAATTTGCATGGAAGATTTTGACCGTCTATTGATACCAGTCCCTTCTAGATTTGAAGAGAATGTTGAAGAGATTTAGCCACCAAGTGCCTCCACTCAATTTCATTTCTCTCCAGCGACTAGATCAGGAATCGGAATACACTAGACGGTTTGCAAGAAGTGTATATATATTTTATATATATATTATATACATATATTATGTGTTGGCAATGATTCCCGAGATCGAGGACTTAAAGCCAAAACAAACAGAATGCTTGGTGAACTTTATCAACGGGAAAGACGTTACTGCCTTTCTTCCTACAGGGAAAAGCTTAATACCATATTTTCCGGGCTATTAGGTGCTCTGGATTATAAGGCGCACTGTCATTAAATGGTCTATTTTCGAACTTTTTTCACAAATAAACCGCACCGGACTTTAAACGAAACACAACAGTTGGATGGGTCAGTGGGACTTTGTTTGGTGCGTTCACGGTGACTCTGGGCTTTGTTCAGTTGTGGCGTGTAGGGAGGGTGCTGTCTGGGACCAACGGATTGTCGGCGTGTTTGCAGTGACTCAGTTGTTCAGTCGTGTCTAGAAGTGGCACATCGGACTCGCTTTTTCGGTTCGTTCCTCCGTTCCGTTCCTCATCGGCGTGGAGTGATGAGTGTGGCTGTGGGTGTTTTTCGCTGTCTGCTCCGTGTGTGTTTGCGTGCACTGCGGGTGGTGCGGCTTTGTAGTTTACTGAAGTCGTGCCTGAGTGGATTCGTGTATAGGGCGCTCTGGATTGTGGGGCGTGTGGTCGTTTTTTGATGGGGTTGGAGACTTAAGAGCGTGTCTAATAGCCCGGAAAATATGATATATCAGTTAAACCAAACAGCAGCGATTGGTTAAATAAAAAAAAAAGTTCCCGCCAGCTGTCGAGAGCACGGATTCTGTGAGGTCAGACGGTTTCCACAAAGTGAAACCGGCTGATGAATCAGGCTAGAAGAGAGGTAAGAGTTTCCCAGTTTGCTGAGCTCTAACCAGGACAAGCAGGTACTAAAATGCTGTGGGCTGATTCCGTGGATACGATAAGACTCTACAGAGTAATGGAAACAAAACCAGGCCAAGTAGAGCTTATGGGGCCGGTGGAAACTGAGCTCCACATTTGTCTCTGTTCTGTTTCGTGCATATATGTAAATACCTGAGCCATATCGTCCAGGCAGTTGAAGATGTACTTTCTGGCTTCCTTGGACTTGATCCCGGTCTCGCCCTCGTGGTCCTCTGGAGTCTGCAGGAGACAAGAAGCAGATGTTACCCTGGGACCATCACACTCTCCCCTCTGGCCCCAGCGCCTCTGTTTACATTGGGCTCATTATGGCCTCTTGTTGTGGATGTGCAGCAGGGCCGAGCTCGCCCTCTGAGGAACCCCGGGGTGGTGCACAAACACTCATCTCACACACGCAGAGACCGACCGTACAGCGGATTCAGCTAATAGTGCTCCATTATCCTCAGTACACAAATGCTCCACACATGTATGCACAAGACTGAAGGAAAATGGAAGGCAGAAGAGCGGATACGCCTGCTCTACTTGTGATTGATGTAAAAAAGACACTTTACACTTTTCAAAATTTAAAGTGAACACAATATAATGCATAAGTACTTCAGCAATAGTTAAATCACATTATATATTGCTGCTATATCACCATAGCAACAGGTAAACAAACTACAACTAGGATGCGCTTAATTTAAAATGATATAATTATAACTCATTAACAGAAAGTGAAAACGCTTTTCACATTCACACGTGAGATAATTCTGCTTGAAGCCACAGAATAAACACATTCAACAATTTGGAGCCAACTTCTCATTATTTAAAGCAACACTGTGTAATTTTGTAGTGTCATGTCACTTAGATGACTCTGTCCACCTTATTCCAGAAGTTGCCGTGGACGTCTCCATCATCATTACCGATCTGCAAATAAGTTCAATCGGAACTATAAAGCCATTTTAACCTCCTAAGACCCAAACTCTTGCAGGGCTTTACTCATTTCTCTTTGTTATTTGGCCTGATTGGGACATGATGACTGCAAAACCTAAGAATTATATTTTTATAATATTTTTATATTTATATGTCCACATATGATATATGAAACACTCATTTTATGTTTTAATCATTTTGATGGAACACTGTAAAATCAAAATACACAGTTTTTGCAAATCATTATTCAGTTAAGTGCCTGAACAACTCAAAATGTGTTGGACATTTACGTATGGTAAATGTTCACATTTTTCTATAGCGCTTTTCCACCTTCAAGACACTCAAAGCGCTTTACAACAAGGAACCACTCACCCATTCACACACACATTCACACACCAGTGTACGCAGACACTGTGGGCAAGGTGGGTTAAGTGTCTTGCCCAAGGACACAACAACAGCATTCATCTGTGGGAGCTGGAATCACACCAGCCAACCTGTGGGTCAGTGGATCTGACCGCTCAACCTGTGATGTTTATGTCGAGATGTGTGGGTGGGTGAATGCTCCACCAACTGAGCTCCTGCCGCCCGTATACGTATGTATATGTACGTATGTAAACACCAGGTCCTAAGAGTCTACAGCCTCAGTGGAATGTGACTTGTTGCTGCATAATCATTTTACACAAATGAAACTACTTTACATCATATTTAAGATGCAAAACGATACACAAATTCCCCACTGACATGAATGGGAAGTGCCACCACAAAAAAAGTGTGGTTTAGGAGCATGTAGAGACAAAAGTGGGCGGGGCGGAATAAAGTGGATAGAAATAGAAAGTTAAACTGATTCTTTGGTACATTTTCCATGGAGATAGATAAATTATAATATTCCACAATATGAATTAAAACCTAACGAAAAAACATTTCCCTGGAAACAAGGAGTATAAATAAAGACTAAGATGGAACAAGATCTGGTTGCCACAAGACAAATGAGATGTCGTTTCCATGTGTTTACATTTGGACTGGACAAAAAAAGTGAGTTACACCTTTTTGACAGCTGTGGTTCCAAAACACAGCGCTATAATGACAACAAAAGAATAAAATACATATTAAAACTGCTCAGTTAAAATTGTTAACTGGGTTGAAACATTTTTATATCAATAAAACTTTTCAAAATCTGCCTTGTCTCGTTCTCATGGACCCAATCTCCAGTCTCGTCTCCCTAGTAAGGATGTTTTTTAGTGCAATTAAAACAAAAAGCAACGAAAATGTGCATTTGTTTAAGGCTAAAAAGTTGGTGAGGCTTTGATTCAAACTCAGCTCAGAATCCCCATCAAACAATAACTGACTTCAATATAATTCTTTTTGATGGTTACAGTTTCCATTCTCATCAACCACTGCAAAACCCAGACTCCACAGAAGAAACAAAGCGCACGCAGACTTCCACCATGAAACATTTAGAGATCGTTTTAAGTCCAGACCGTGTTTTCGCTGGTCTGGGAACGGCCAACGGTAAAATCCAAGACGCTAAGAGGCGGTCCAGACGTCTTATTGAGTGGCCTATATATCCAGCCAGTCGGAAGGAGGCTTTAAATGAGAGGAGTTTTATCAAGTTTGTCTTCCATTTTCCAAATCCTCTCACACAAATCCATTTTACTCTTATTAGACTCCCACTTTGTTTAGGGCTATGGTTTCGTGGGTATGTTTTTTTCCTGGAGGAGGCTGGACTTTAGACAGTACAGAGTCTATAGTGTGTAGTTATTAAGTCTGGGCACTTTTTTCCCCCTGGATATTTTTTATTGTCTGTTATTTTTATTTTTCCAGTTTTTGATTTTACAAGTTGTTCTTATTTTGGAATATTTAGTAAAGTGCCTTTTCCCTGCTGGCTCTTATGCTGGTTCCCAACTTTTCTGTGACTTTTTCATGACCTAAAGTGAATTTTCCATGACTTTACGGCACCTACATGTGTAGAATTTATCAGACTTTTAGGGCTAAATATGAAATGTTAACTTTTTCCACTCACTAGTTTTTAAGATTCAAAATACTGTCAGTGCATTTATTGTCGTCTCTTTTAAACAAAAGGCGCAAACGTTCGGAAATAATCATAATAGACCAATGAGAACTTAATAGAACGCTGTAGTTGTGTGAAAGAGATACTAAATTTTCATGACTTTTCCAAAACTTTCATTGAATTTACAAAATACCATGAGTTTTTCCAGGCCTGGGAAATGACATTTTCAATTTCCATGACTTTTCCAGGATCTCCATAACTGTTGGAACCCTGTATTTAGACACTGATGTGTAATTGTCGGGAGTAGCGGCATAAACATTAATTTTCAAGCATCACACTATTTCGACTTTTAAAATTTTTTTTTTAAATTTTGGAGTAACGGCACTCAGAGGTGGGACCGAGTCATTGTTTTGCAAGTCTCAAGTCTTTGATCTCAAGTCCAAGTCAAGTCCCAAGTCAAAGACAGGCAAGTCCAAATCGAGTCTCAAGTCACTGGCCCATAAGTCCAAGTCAAGTCCAAGTCGTCTGCTTTGAGCTTCAAGTCTTTTCAAGTGTTTTAAACCAAAGTACCACATATAGCTTTGTTTTTTTGCAATTCATATGACTTTTAAGATAAACTGTACTTATAAAGTCATAGTATATTTATGTATGAGTATTTATAGAGTACAGAAGAGTTGTAGCAATGCAATTCTTTCCCTTTTTAAATCTCTTGACAAGACCTTAGAGTGAGTCATTACAGTCAGAAGAGAACAAATTCAGATTTAAAAATGCTTCTCAAGTCTTCTCAAGTCCAAGTCAAGTCCCAAGTCTTAGTCCATGTTATCAAGTCAAGTCTCAAGTCCTAAAAATAGTGACTCAAGTCTGACTCAAGTCCAAGTCACGACTCGCAAGTCCCCACCTCTGGCGGCACTTAACTATTTTTCAAACATTCTGCTTTTCCGACATGGATAATATTAATGTGACAGCCGATTATACTTTGCGCTCCCATATATCATAAGATGCTTGGTCAGAGAATACTTTGGCCACAGAGGATATCAGACAGTGGGAAAATGTCCTAACTGATCGCCATGGGAAACAGTCATGTATTTTAAAAAAGTGCGTAGGCCAGCCTTCGGGACAATATCTGAGCTAAAACGGAGGCTGCATGGGCCCTTTGTGCTTCATTTATTCCGTCATGTAGGTGAACTGTTAAGAACAAAATACAGCCTAAATCAGGGGTCTCCAACCTTTTTCCTCCTGTGAGCTCCTTTACAAAACAAAAATGCCAGAGAGCTACTGACGATTATAAGAAAAAGGGCGAGCCTTTGGGTACAGTTGAGCCAATAATACATAAACCATTTGTTAGTGCACAAAGTTGGGCTTCAAAATGATACGTTTACAAGGGTAATAGGCACGTAATTAAACACATTTTTCTTATTCAGCACAATGGTATAATTCCGAAATCCCTTGGTGAGCTACTTGGAATTGGGTGGCGAGCTACTGGTGGTTCCTGAGTTATAGTTTGGAGACCCCTGGCCTAAATAAATAACCAATCAAGTTCATTGCGGCAGCTCATATGATGTGTCGGAATAGGATACTAAAAAGTGTAAAAAAAACTGGCACGTTTAAATAGAGACATGTCGTAATGTAAGGATGTCGAAATAGTCCGCGGACCGGACCCCTATGCTGCGTTCCTTAGCTTTTTGTTAACTTATCCTTAATTTTGTTTGACCTGGTGAGTCCAGACGTCCTGTTTTCGTTCTTTATTTTCTGTAGGGAAAGTTTTTGGGTTGTTTTTTTTTTCATTTAGGGAGCGCTGTCCCATCGTATTTTACGTTAGCCGACTCACCGTGGTCTTTTCATTTGTTACTTTGGGTCTTTTTTGGGATGTTAAGGGTTACTTTTTCCTTCACAAAACTGATCAACAAAGGAACAACAAAGTAACACAATTATTTAATCTTTAACTGTGTCCTTTTTAAATACATTTTGATCTATGTTATTGGACCATAACAGTAGTGTATACAGTATAAGTAGATGAACAGAATTTTGTTGCATTGTTTATTTTTGTTATGCTTTTTTGTGAATCATTATGTCATATTCTTGTACTGTGTTGACACATGCACAAATATTTCTATACACTCTGAATTGTGATAAAATTCTGCAGAGACAGCACGTAAAGCAGCTAACTACTCACTTCTGGAATAATTTATGTTTTTTAATTCTATCTCCTTTTTTCGCACCTCAGCTTTGTACTGAAATCACAACGGATTTAGTGTAATCTACGTAAAATGATGTTTAAATACTGACCTTAAGTCTCCACAGTGGGTACGTAGACTCTGAATCTCTGTTAAAGAACCTGGTTGTTTTTGTCCCAGCGCTTAATAAATACTCAGCAGGCAGGCCTTGTGTCTGAGAGATGTACCGGATCTGTGAAAAGAAGAGAAAAGAAGGGTCAAACGTGAGTTGAAAATACTTAAAATCTTTCCTGTTTAGAAATAAAGAGAAGAAAGTTAAGGTTAAAGGTGATACTGTGAACATAGAAAGTGAGACAAAACCTGCACACTTACTCCCAAACTGCCTTTAATAAACAAAATGACACCGTTTCGATCAGTGGATCTTCATCGGGTCACAGATCCACTGATCGAAACGTCATTTTGTTTATTAAAGGCAGATTGGGAGTAAGTTTGCAGGGTTTGTCTCACTTTCTGTGTTCACTGTGGTGGCCAGGAACGAGGTGTTATGGTATCAAAAATTGGCTTTTGTGAGGTTAAAGCCATGTCATGATCAAAAACAGACCTGGAGTTGTGTTTTGCTTCATTCGCCAAGTGTCTGAGGTTACGTTTATATGACGACGGCCTGAACAGAAGACGCAAAACTGGCGTTGCGTCCTCACTTTTTATTCCGTGTTTAGACGGAATCTGCGTGCATACGGTGACGCAAAAGTGTGTGGCATCAATTGGATATGCATGCCATCCGACATGTTTGTTTCTTTGTACTGTATGTATGTGACGTAAAGGCGTACGCGACGTGAGCAGATCAGACCAGAGTTTTGCGTCTTGGGCAGTGTAGACGGAAACGATACAACAAAGTGTATTCAGCTTTTTCTCGAGGGTGGTTTCAGATTTTTGCGTTTTTAAGTCCCAAAAACACCGTCATCGTCTAAACGAAAGGCACTTCTGATAAAATATCTTGTCATTTTTACCCGCAAATGTTCTCATGTAAACAGGTCCTGAGTATTCCTGTTTTTTTTTTTAGTCTGTCTACATTGCCAAAGCTCAAAATGCTCTGTTCCACCTTGTGATGTCATGAAGCAATAGTTTTCAAGTTAACAGCTCCTTTTACCTTTTGTTCAGTAGAGACTGGCAATGACAGGGCTGAAATCATCCAAATGTCGAACAATTTCATCCCTGGAATTGTCGAATTCTACTTATGCGATGATTCATGCGATGCGAGGTTAGTTTTATTTCAAACATTATTCTATCAACACAGACATTCACATCGACAGTCTGGCGTAATAATACCATATTTTTTCAGACTATAAGTTGCACTTTTTCTTCCCGTGTGACTTATATATTAAAATTTTCATAATGACAGGCGCAAGAGGCTCTAGTCTTGTGTGTCAGTATCTGCTGCTCCTGTTCCTCCTGTACCACTGTCACTTCACTCTACTGCGCATGTCTCCTGCAGAAAGAGCCTCTGTCCTGCTGCAAGTAGTGAAATATTCAGGTGAAAATGGTAATCGAGCAACAGAAAGAAAGTTTGGAGCGAGCGAGAAACTTGTGACACCGGGAGGATGCACCATAAAACTTTCCTGGAAGTCACTGGATGGATGGACAAAGCCTGGACTTCAGTGACACAGAAACCATCCTGTCAGGATTCAGAAAGGCCGGAATAATTCTAACTGGAACTGATGCTGAGTCTGACGACAGCGACACAGAAGAGGAAGCGGCGCTATGTTTACCTCCGGAGATCACGGAGTTGCTCAGAAGTGACACCGAGGATGAAGAATTGAATGGATTTTGTGATCTGGAGTGAGATGGAGAGTTTGTTAAACTTGTTCTGTTCTGTTGTTTATGTTATAGTTTATCTGAAGAACTGTTCATATGTGACGTTAACAGTCTGTTGTTCTCTGTTCTATTGTTACTAGAACTTGACTTTCAAGCTGAAATGTTGGTTCCTGGTCTCAGATTTTTTTCAAATAAATTTCCCCAAAAAGTGTGACTACTCTGGAGCGACCAGCGACCTCTGCAAATACAAGGACTGGATGGAATATTTTAAAAAGTGTCTCCACACGTCTCCAACACTCTGGCTCATGAGGAAATGAGATCCTATGTCCAAAATTCTGGACTGTTCCTTTAAAGCTCACAAGAGTTTATTTTGCGTAATACATAAAAGGACCTTTAAATCCGTCTAAAACTTGCTTTCAGATTGATTTGAATTTTAACATCTGCAAATGAGACCAATTCAAAATAGAAGTGAGGGAAGCTTGTTCACTGACGTAGTGCAAACTCGCTGAAGGTTTTCCCAGAGCGTCCTGTGTGAGTGATAGAGAGAAGGGAAAGTGTCTGCGATGTCTTGCTCTAGAGCACAGGGGCGACGCTAATTGGACGAGTGTCTGTGTGGCATCTGTTGAGATAAACAGGGAGGCTGCAGGAATCATCAGGGGCTGTCAGGGGGGATTGGAAACAGCCCTCCCTCCCCCTGAGCACCTCCAAGCACATGCTCGCAGAAACACGGGCACAGACGCCGGCGGCCGAGTGTGTGCGGCTCTGAGGGTGGAGCCAACTTTTAAATCACCACGCACAAAAACAAGGTCGTAGTTAAAGGTGCATTGTGTAACTTTTCTAGTGGAGGGTCAGTTCTCCACAGAGATGTTATCAGTGTTGGGGAGTAATAGATTACATGTACCGGAGTTACGTAATCAGAGTACAAATTATGAGTAACTGTATTCAGTTACAGTTACTACAGTTTCAGTGAGTGGTAATTGGATTACGTTACTTTGTTGAAATAAATGGATTAAACGGTGGTATTTTCTAAACCAGGTCCAAACTAGGTCTAAACCAGGTCTAAACCAAGACTAAACCAGGACTAAAACCAGGTCTAAACCAGGTCTAAACCTGTTCTAATCCAGGTCTAAAACTGGTCTAAACTAGGTCTAAACTAGGTCTAAACCAGGTCTAAACCAGGTCTAAACCAGGATTAAACCAGGTCTAAACCAGAACTAAACCAGGACTAAAACCAGGTCTAAACCAGGTCTAAAGCAGGTCTAAACCAGGTTTAAACCAAGACTAAAACCAGGACTAAAACCAGGTCTAAACCTGGTCTAAACCTGTTCTAAACCAGGTCTAAACCAGGTCTAAAAGAGGATTTAAGAGGACTAAACCATACTGCGTGGACGTGTCTCCTTCTCTTCTATCAATAATATTTTTAATTTGGTTCAGTAAAGTCTGGGCTTTTTTATTTTCTTTTATCAGACAAAACATCTTATGTGAAGATCCTCATCTTTGCTTCTCTACAGCAAATCAAGTAATCCAAAGTATTCAGATTACGTTACTCACTTTAAGTAATTTAATGGATTACGTTACAAACTACATTTTGGTGTATGTAATCTGTAATCTGTAGGGGAATTACATTTTAAAAGTCACCTTCACAACACTGGATGTTATTGCTTCGTCTGGAATGTTTCACAGTGTGGTATTAAACATTTCTAACTTCATGGAGACCAAACCAGACCAAGATACAGGTCAGATCTGCGGAGTGGCAAGTATTTCTGAGCTATAAAACCACCTGTAATTGAATAAATGTAAGGTAAAGCAATGACATTTCCACAAAAAGGTGACAGAACCTCAAGTGAAAAGTTACATAGTTCATCTTTAAAGTGCCAATAACAGGTTTTGATGATTCTGTAATTTCTACTTAATTTGGTGGGATAATACTTGTTGTAAATAAACTATACATTGACATGAATCAAGGAGCAATCTGCAAAGAAAAGTTGAGAAATATGTTGAAAATTACAGGAAATAGTGAGTTCTAAAACACGTTGATTCTGTCCAAAAGTTTGGCAATTTTTTTTTCTGATACTTCTTTTCTAATACAAGATTTCAACAAAATAATAATTATTATAATCTGATTTGTCACATCAAAATTTCTGTTATTTTAGAGGAGTTTTGGCCCTGTCTAGAGCACAGTTGCTAGGTAACAGTTCAGGAATTTCAACCAGGACGTAAAATTTGGAGTTTAAAAAATTGCCATTTTAATAAAATCCTAAATCAGAGGTCTTCAACAGGGGAATCGAGACCCTAGGAGGATTGGGGTCATATTAAACTTATTCTCTTGTATAATCCTGTGTATTTACTCTTATTTTTCTGTTACCTGATCGTATTCTGACGCTCCAGGGTAGAGAGGCCAGCCCAGGAAGAGCTCGGCGATGACACAGCCCAGGGACCACATGTCGATGGCCTCACAGAACGGAAGGCCCAGGATGATCTCTGGAGCTCTGTGAAAACATGAAACAAACTGGTCAGAAATACTCCACACACACACAAAAAACTCCCACACAGGACTAAATTATAAATAAAACAAGTAAAACAAGTAAAGGGGAAAATGAACCGCACAAAAAACAAATACTATAAAGTCAATGCAGTGTGGCTATGCTGGACGACCACTATTACTGAAGATCTTTTTCCTTTATGTTTGTTTTTGTTTTGTGTTTGTTTCTTATGTCTTTCTCACTCCGCTTTCAAAGAAAAAACTGAGCCTAAATATGCAGGATTTGTGTGAATGTGAATGAAGCAAAACACAACTCCAAAGGAAAATATATATTTTAACATGGATAAATATAATGTATTATGAGCCCTGTGTGTTGAAAATCAGTTTTAATCCAATGTAGTTGCTATGTCCAAATTAAAGGTGCATTGCGGAACTTTTCTGGTGTGGATCCGTCACCTGCTTGTCTCCATGGAGATGCTATTGCTTTGTCTAGAATGTTCCATAGTAGAAATTAAATCTCAAGTAGTGTCGTAGTACTCGAGACCGGTCTTGGTCTCAAGACTGGCCTCGAGACTTCTTCGTCTTGGACTTGACCGCACTTGGACTCGGTCTTGTCTCGAACTTGACCGTGTCTGGACTCGGTCTTGTCTCAGACTTGACCACGTTTGAACTCGGCCTTGTCTCGAACTTGACCGTGTTTGGACTCGGTCTTGTCTCGGACTTGACCGTGTTTGGACTCGGTCTTGTCTCAGATTTGACTGCATCTGGACTCGGTCTTGTCTCGACTTGACCCGTGTTTGACTCGGTCTTGTCTCGATTTGACTGATCTGGACTCGGTCTTGTCTCGGACTTGACCGTGTTTGGACTCGGTCTTGTCTCGAACTTGACCGCGTTTGGACTCAGTCTTGTCTCGAACTTGACCGTGTCTGGACTCGGTC